GCTAGGATTATAGGCCTGAGCCACTGGCACCTGGCTGATCTTTACTTAATTTTTTATTGTGACGGGTTGGGGGTATGTTGTGGCATTTACAAATGTTCTTAAAATATATCAAATATATCATACTTGAATTCACCCTCTCTATCATTCTCTTTTATCCTTCCCTCCCCTTATTCCTGGAATAGTTTCAATATCACTTAGTTATTTTAACGTCAATTTATATGCCAAAAATCATAAAATATAGCATCCAAAATTATTTTTTAATGGCCTACTAGGCTTCACCAATAGTTTTTTGTTTTTTTTTGCGGTACTGGGGCTTGAACCCAGGGCCTTCACCTTAAGCCACTCCACCGTCCCTATTTTTGTGAAGGGTTTTTTGAGATAGGGTCTCCTGAACTATTTGCCTGGGCTGGCTTCGAACTTTGATCCTCCTGATCTCTGCCTCCTCCTGAGTAGCTAGAAATACAGGCATAGCCACAGGTGCCTGGCTAACCAATAGTTTTGAAAACAACGAATTGTCTAGGCCTACTTACTCCGGGAGAAAGAAGATCATGTGAGCCTAGGAGTTTAAAAGCAGTCTGGGTAACATAGCTAGACCCAGTATCTTAAAAAAAAAAAAAAGGAATTGGAGGTAATTTGACTTACATAAGGGTAAATAGTTCTCGAGAGCCTATCTCAAAAAAAAAATCACAAAAATAGGCTTAGTGGAGTGGCTCAAGGTGAAGGCCCTGAATTCAAATCCCACACTGAAACACTGAAAGACTGTTGAAATGCAAGTCTTTTGTAAAATGGGAGAAGTTTGTTTGTGAAAGCAGTAATGTGTTCTCAGGAAATCAATTTATTTATTTGTGTATTTATTTTTTATTGTTATTTCGGCTTTTTAAGACAGGGTATAGATATGTAGTGGAGGCTGTACTTGAACTTGCTCTCCTGCCTCCACTCCCTGAGTGCTGGGATTAGAGTCTTGTACCACTGTGCCTGGCTCAGATCAGTTTTAGAAAACAGTACATCTTCAAGATGACAAGAAAATTCTTGAAGGGTTAGGCTGAGTTGCATCTTGCATGTGACAATCGGTGTACACAGAACTAAGAGCCCCAGAGTTGGGGAAAGAGGGAGCTGGGTTACAGCAGTGACTCAGCAGTTCATTGGTTGGCAAAGTTACTCTCTGGGTACTGCACTTCAGACTTTTAAGAGGTCATTCTCAGCAGGAAAAAAAAAAAGCTAGTTCATTAGATCTTGAAGAAGATGATAGAAGCAGTGGGATACATAGCCTGTGTCTCTTGATGTTAAGTCTTTGCTGGACTAAGATGTGTTTGAGGGATCCTAATTTCTGATATCATGAACTGGAATCTGAGTGTCTTTATTAGGATAGTTGGTGTGATATATTGGGCATCTTGCCCATGAGACTATCTTTTTTTTTTTTTCCTTTAAACATTTCTTTTTTTTTTTCTTTTATTATTCATATGTGCATACAAGGCTTGGGGCTTGGGTCATTTCTCCCCCCTGCCCCCACCCCCAACACTATATTAGAGAGACAACAGGGAGTAATAGGGTGTGTGTGGTAGGGAGATGGGTAGAGGTGTTGAGGGTGTAGAGAAGGGGCAGGGGAAACAGGTGTGGGAAAAGGCGGAGATACACCTGGCCAAACTTGTGTCTTATCCACTCCTGCCAAAGGGGTAAAAAAAGCCTCTTAAATGCAAGATAGCTCTCAATCTAAACTGGTAAAAGCTATTTCAAATCTCAGATCTGTAATTTAATAGCTCTGTGACTTGGCACAGTTTAATAGCTTTAATATTCTGAGTCTAATCTATAAAATGAATCCTTCACAGGCTTCTGGTGCTGGATTGTGGTTACATTGCAAAAAACCACCACCAACAAAACAGGGCTGTATATAAGATTTGGGCATTTTTTTAATACACATGGTATACTATAATATAAAAATGTTTATAGGAAATTAAAGCAAACCAGGTGGGGCAGTGCAGGCCTGTAGTGCTAACTACTCCAGAAGCCGAGGCAATAGAATTGTTTGAGCCCAGCTTGAGGCCAACTTGGGCAATATAGCCAGACCTTGTTCTCAAAAATAAATAAATAAAAATAATTAAGAGTATGCCCCTTCTGGAGTTGTTGTGATGACTCAATCGAACCATATTTACAAAATCTTTAGCATAGTGCCTGGCACATAAATATGTGGCCAGGGTCTATGGTCCAGGTTGAGGTATCATGAACTGGTTCTGGAAAGGCCACATTTTCTGTTCTGGTCAACCTTTGTGTTATGGCTGTTCTCTGGGACTCAGTTTGCATGAACTAAACCACGGGGCCGACTTAGATGAGCTCTGAGAATTCAGCCAATCCCACTCTAGGGACACAAGGGAGAGGGTGGCCAGAAGAACCTCCCACGTGGCAGGACAAGAGGTCTTTCTTCCTCTGGAAGGACAGGAACCCAGGGCTAGACAAGATCGATGGCAGCGCGCAGTGCACTGTGGTGCCAGCAGCGAGACGCGCGCGGTTGTCCGTCCCCAGGGCCACTTCCCTTGCCTGGCGCGGCTATAATGCTTGGGCCCCGAGCTCTCCAAATGATCTCCGTGGAGAGTCCGAGTTCTGGTCCTTGAGACATTCTGAATCCAGGGAGGAACACGGGCCTCCTGGCTCCGGCTGCCACCCACTTTGCTCCCAGACAGGACGCGGGAGGGCGGGTCCAGCCTGCGCAGGCCCCGCCCCAGCCCCCTGAGGGCGGAGCTTCCTTCTCACCGCCAGACTTGAGTTGAGACCCTTGGATCCTTAGCCCGGCGGGACTGAGTCTAGGCCTCTCTGTGTTGTGTGTGCTCTGTGCTTGTTCCGAGGTGAGTTCCTCCTGCTGCGGGCCCATCTTTCTTTCGGAGCAGGTGGCCTCGGTTCTTCAGTAGAGGGGGGCCGCCCCAGATATTGAACGGAGAGCGAGGACATCTGACGCGAGGAGACTTGGTTTCGGATTTGAGCTCTTCTTCCTATAGTCTATGTGATTTTGTTTGGATAAGTTAGCAGTTTCTCAATCTCTTGTTTTCTCCGCAGTGATGAGCAGTAATACCCGCACTGTATCGAGAACTTAGTGGTAAACCTTTGAAAGCGCCGGGAACTTATTAGATGCTTTGTAAATTTTGGTTGCCATCTTCTTTTTGTTAACTCATCTGCACGGTTTTTCCAGTGGCTCTGGATTTGCTGTGGTGTAGGAATGCTTCTCAGAAGTGGCGGGAAGGTGGGGAGGGGGCGGGAAAATCGCTTGCTCAAGCACTGGCTTTGGGTCAGGAGAAGCAGGGGCATGTTATTCTGTGGAATCTGATCTGAACCTTTACAGGATGGGGCTACTATTGACTCTTCCGTTCAGTTTACCCTACTCAGGGCTCCATGATCTCCCTAGAAGAGTCTTGATGGTTCTGATCAGACCTGATCTCCTATTCGTGCCTGCCTGCCTGTCTCTCCTCCTTCCTCTCCCTCTCTCCGACCCCGCCCTCCCCGTGTGTGTTGTGTGTGTGTGTGTGTGTGTGTGTGTGTTAAGGATTCAGACAGATGACCCAGGTTTGAGGGGGAAACATTTAAACAAACGAAAAAATTTATCAGTGCGCCCAGGCTATCAGTGCACACACACACAAAAATGCCATGATGTGTACAAGCAATTAGTAAATTTCTGGGAGGAGGGAGAAATTTGGAAGTGCTAGTAAAAGGATGAGCAGTAGTTAGCAGGTAGTGATTGATGAGGTCTGGGGAAGTAGGTATGACTGGAGGCATGGCTGAAGTGGTAAAGTGCCTGTCTAGCAAATGCAAGGCCCTCAGTTCAAACCCCAGTACCGTCAAAAAAAGAAAGAAAAGAAGCTGCAAATACATTTTTTTTTTTTTTTGGCGGTACTGGGATTTGAACTCAGATTTACACTTTCGAAGCATGCATTCTACCGATTGAGCCCCACCTCCAATCCATTTTGCTCTGGTTATTTTGGAGATGGGGTTCCTTGAACCTGCCTATCTCAGCCTCTGGTTCCCCACAAGAGCCAGTTTTTTGTTTTGTTTTGTTTTGTTTTGGTACTGGAGTTTGAACTCAGGGCCTACACTTTGAGTCATTCCACCAACCCTTTTTTGAGTTGGATTTTTTTTGAGATAGGGTCTCAAACTATTTACCCTGGCTGGCTTGGAACCATGATCCTCTGATCTCTATCTCCCGAGTTTCTAGGATTACTGGAGTGAGCCACTGGTGCCTGGCTAAGAGCCAGGTTTTGATGGAGTCTGAACTTTATCCTGGGTTTAGGGGAGAATTGCTGAAGAGTTGAGCCTGGAGTCACATGGTTGGATTTGGGTGAATGGATTTTGGACAAGGGGCCACACTGGAAGGGAGAAATTTGATTTAGATAAGGGATGCTGGTAATCAGAGCTACAGCAGTGTTGGTTGGAGGTAGAAGTGGATGGACTGGAAGAAGATTTAGGAAGTATATGTTTTCAGAAGTTTATTTATTCATTTATTTTTTGATGGGGTCTCAGCTTTGTTGCTTGGCTGACCTTGGATTCCAGATCTCCCTGATGCAGCCTCACCAGTAGCTGGGATTACAGGTGCAGACACTACATTCAACTAGTATGTATTTAAATTTTTTTCTATTTGCTTATAGCAGCAAGAACATGAGCCAGGTGTGGTGGCTTATGGTGGTGGTTTCAGCTACTTGGGAGGCTGAGGCAGGATGATCACTTTGAGTTCATGAGTTAAAGAACACCTTGGGTAACATAGGGAGATCCTGTTTCAAAAAAAAAGGGTACATCCTTGGGACTAGTAGTGTAGCTCAGTGGTAGACACTTTGCTAGCATAGGATTTGATATCTAGCATAACAAAAAAAGAAAAAAAGAAGTATATTAAGTATTATTGCAGTCTTTTTTTTTTTTATGGGACTGGAATTTGAACTCAGGGCTTTGAACTTGCAAAACAGGTGCTCTCCAGTCCATTTTGGTTTAGTTATATTGGAGATGAAGTCTCTCAAACTATTTGTGCTGGCTGACCTCAAACCATGATCCTCCTGATCTCTGCTTCCCAAGTAGTTAGGATTATAGGTATAAGCCACCAGCACCCATTTTACACAATGTTTTAAACCAATCAATATTTTTTTCTATATTTACAAGTATTAACAGGATTTTTAGCCCAGCAAACAGAAGAACATTACAGGGACCAATATTACATATTTAAGGTGGTTTTCCAAGCTGGCTTCTTTAGAAGTACAGAAGACATTCTACCTTCCCCTACCACCCATCAAGAAATACCTCAAAGGGGGACTAGAAGCATGGCTGAAGTAGTAAAGTGCTCACCTACCAAATTTGAGGCCCTGAGTTCAAACCCCAGTATTGGCCTTCCCCAAAAAAGAAAAAAGATTGCCTCAAAGGAACTGCAAATACTTTCTTTACTTTTTTTTGTTGTTTGTTTTGCTGTGCTAGGGAATGAACCATGAACCCAGGGTTTCTTGCCTGCTAGGTGAGCACTGAGCTACACCCCAGCCTGATTTGTTATTTTTTGTTTTTTCTTTCTGAGACAGGGCCTTGTTTTGTAGTTCAAGTTGGTCTCAAATTTACAATCCTCCTGCCTCTGCCTCCTAAGTGCTGGAGGCATGCTGTACTTGGCTACACTGGCCTTTTTTTTTTTTTTTTTTTTTATGGTACTGGGGCTTGAACTCAGGGCCTATACTTTGAGCCACTCCACCAGCCCTTTTTCTGTGATGGTTTTTTTCTCAATAGGGTCTCCTGAACTGTTTACCCAGGTTGGCTTGAAACCATGATCCTCCTGATCTCTGCCTCCTGAGTTGCTAGGATTACAGGCATGAGCCACCAGTGCCTGGCTTTTTTTTTTTTTTTTTTAAGTCTACTTAAAATTGTAGATTTCTAAGCAGTTGTAATGCAGAGAAGTGCTTTATACTGTTTATACAGTTTCTATCAATGGTTAACTTCTTTTTTTTTTTTTTTTTTTTTGTGATGCTAGTGACTGAACCCAGGACCTTGTATATGTTAAGAAGGTGCTTTCCCACTGAGCTATACCTCCAGCCCCCTTACATGACTTTTTTTTTCCATTATTGGATTGAACTCATGGCTTTGTGCTTGGTAGGCAGATACTCTACCATTTAATCTGTTCTACAAGCCTCCTTATTTGGCTTTTTAAAAGGTCTCATGGATAATAATGTGAACATGATGTCTGGTTTGCTTTAATACTTGTTATCCAGGGCCTTGAGTTACTGGTGAAATAGAGTATACAGAAAGGAGAGAATGGGGCAGGTGCTGTACAAAGTGGTTAGATACATTATCTCTTGAGAATAGTGGAGCTAAAATTCAAGGCCAGTCCTGTGCCACACTAGAACCTGAACTATTTTGCACTCTGCTATTGGAATTTTTTTTTTTTTTTTGAGGTGCTGGGGCTTGAACTCAGGGCCTATACCATTACCCACTCCACCAGCTCTTTTTTGTGGTGGATTTTTTTCAAGATAGGGTCTCTTGAACTATTTGCCTGGGCTGTGGCTTCGAACAGCAATCCTCCTGATCTCTCCCTCCTGAGTAGCTAGGATTATAGGCATGAGCCACCAGTACCAGGCTGCTGCTGCATTTGATGAGCACAGTTTTGGACATGTTAAATCTGACACTTATGGAACATGTTAGTAGAGAGACCCTGAGGGAGTTGAACATACAGAGCTGGGGGTGGGGAGTGGGAGAATCAGGACTTAAGGTGATAACTGAAAACAGAAACTTGACTAGGGAGTGAATAGAGGATTGGGAATAAAACACCAAGGTACACTAACATTTGTGGAAGGCATAGGAGAAGCCCCCACAACCAGGAAACACTCATGTAAATACTGCTTCCTCTTTGTTCCAAGCTGTCAAGTTCCCTGCATCCAGACAGCAACTACAGACATCTCTGAGAAAGGTAAACTGAGTCCCTGGGTGAAGGAACTAAAGTGCTGAGTTGGGAATAATAAAATCTGAAGCTACCCTTTCCCACTTCCCCCATACCCAACCTCTCTCTTTCATATCTGGGGGTAATATGGGGGTTTCTGACTGTTGACAGAGGCCTAGCTAGGCATTTCCTGACAAGCTCAGAGCCTGGAGTCTTTTAATGCAGGGCTAGACTGGAAAGTTGCTATCTTATATCTTAGGCAGAGGGTCAGGAAGTCACAGCTGGCTGAGAATGACTTTCTAACCTAGGGAAAAACATCTTTCTTCTACTGTGGCCCATCCACTCTCCTCTTGAAAAGTCCTTTTTCTTCGAAGATCTTCATTAGGTCTTCCTACCTATTTGATCCCTGCCCCTCAAGACCCAGCCCCTTTGGTTTTCAATTTCATCTACAAAAGAAAGAGAGAAGCAAAATTCAGGTTTCTTCCTTGTCCTCTGTAGGCCAGGCTTTTTTTTTTGTTGTTCAAGCTGCTACCCCAGATGTAATTTCAGAGCCCTCTCATGTTTACTGGGAAATCTGGGAGAGGCCAACAAGTTACTGTTTGGACATCAAGCCCTGGAACACAGCTTGGGAGCAGCAGGCCAGCACATTCCTCCTATAAAGTATTAGGAAAGACAGTTTTGATTCACAATTTGTGTTATTACCTGGTCTACCAGAGGTCTTTCAAAACTTGGAAACAAAGGTTATAGTCATAAAGGTATTGTTGGTAATGAAATCAATCCTAGGAGAGCAATATTTGTGGTACTGATATGATCAAGGGGAAAGGTTATTTCTACCTCATTGACTCTTGCAGTGAACATTTCTTTCTTTTTCTCTTGGATAATGCCTGTTCATTCATTCTTTTTTAAAGACTTAACTCCGATGTCACCTCCAAGACACCATCCTCCAAGAAGCCATCCTAGCTAGGTTACTCTTTGCTGCTGCCCTTGTGCAGCCCTTGTACAGATTTTGGTCAAAGCCTTATCACATTACACTGATAGCATCTGTTGTTCCCACCATGACCATAAACAGAAGGAAGGCAGGAACACTGTTTAAATGTGTGTCTCCAGGCCTGGAAAATTCAACATTGGCTGACTGCGTATTCTTGGGCCATTTGGATAATTTTCATAGCTTTCCAAAGAGGGATTCTCTAAATATCTGCTTTGTTCTGTTGGAAATATTCTTAGATTTATAGTTCACTACTTTTCTGTTGCACTGAAATTGTGTGTCTAGTTTCCCTGTTGGAAAGAGGTTTCCCCCTTGACTCTTGGGACAGTCTAATACACTCTTAAAAGCCAGTGTCAATTATTACTTGGTCCTTGCCCTGTGGAATTTACTTCCTTTTCTTAGCATATTATACGTATGTCTGTTGTGAGCCATATATTTTTATAGATATGTGTTTATCTGCCTTTTTCTATTAGCTTCTCCTTGTATCCTTGGTTCTGCCACTTTTAGCTATTGATTAGGGCCAAATAACTTGACCTCTATAAGCCTATTTCCTCATCCAAAAAATGGTAAGTGTTATACTTCTTATGTAGGAGCCCATTCAGGCCGCTCAGCTTGGCTGATGAGACCTGTGTGAGAGTGATCAGAGAGTCTCTGGTCCTAACAAACTCCTGGGAACATTTATTTCATCATCAGAGATATAGTATTTTCCTGGGCCTATTCTGCTATATTGGTCTCTGTTTCATAATGGCCTTTGCCTATCTTAAACTGGTTTCAGACCTTATTTACTCAAGGCTGGTCTTCTGGGGAGCCACCCCACCTTTGTTTTTAGATATTGGAGCTCATTTTTGTTTTAGTTTTTGGGGTTTTGAGAAAGAGTCTTATAGTTTGAGGGTGGCCCAGGCCAGCTCAAATTTGTGATCTTTATGCCTCAGCCTGCCTGAGTGTTAGGATTACATACTTGTATCATCGCTCCCTGCTTATCTATCTGTCTGTCTGTCTATTTATCTATCTATCTATCTATCATCGATCTATCTCTAGCTACTTATTTATTTATTGTGGCGCTAGGGATTGAACCTTGTACATGCTAGGCAATCAATCACTCTATCGCTAGATTATAGAAGCTTGTTAACACAGACCTTTAGCTTGGTTGAATGAAAGACAGCCAGGCTGGTGGTCTGGTCAGTGTTTGTCCAGGAGCTACCAGGTTTGGCTGGTTTTGGGTTCCTTGTCTCCACTTCTGCTCACAGGCAATACATAGCCACATATTTGTTTCTCACATCTACCCCTCTTCCCTGATCTTTACTCCCTTCCTGACCCATTTTGTACACTTCTTGACCAGTGATGGCTGAAGCCCAAGCAATAGCACTAACCCCCTCATCATTTTCTTCCCATCTGTGTTTCAGGGGGTGATGGCAGCTTCCTGTGTTCTCCTGCACACTGGGCAGAAGATGCCCCTGATAGGCCTGGGCACCTGGAAGAGTGAGCCTGGCCAGGTGAGGGATGGGGGAAGAGGAGAACAACTACTTAAGCTTCTGCTAGGGAATAGGAAGGGATTTAGGAGAAGGGCCCTGCATTTTCCTTAGCAGGCATCAGAACTACTTCTGATGAGGATGAGCCTGTAGGGCAGTGAGAAGAGATGAAGGAAGAAGGGACAATGGAGAGCCCTTGGCTTCCCCAGCTAACTCAGAGGAAAGACTAAGGGGCTCAGCAGGGCTAAGGGCATAGAAAGACCCTTATCTCTAACTGCATCTGCACTGAGTGCTATGGCAGACACGGGGCTTCTTTGCTATGAGTCCTAATATGGGATTTACCACCCTGTGCTGTCATCATGTCTCCTCACCCATACTGGGATCTTTGAGGACTGGAGCCACTTCTTAGTGCACAGTCCAGGCACATAGAAGGTGTCAAGATTTAAAGAATTACTGGGTCAACTGTGTAGACCAAAGATCCACGAACTTTTTCCTTTTTTTGGTGGTAGTGGGGTTTAAACTCAGGGTCTCCCATTTGCCAGGCAAGCACTCTACCATCTGAGTTACTCCACTAGCCCTGATTATGTTCTTATATAACTATTTAGTAGGTATTCATTAAAAATGTAAGAGTTATAGCAGGTGTGGAGGATCATGCCTGTAATGCCAGCTACTTGGGAGGTTGAGGCAAGAGGATTGACAATTGGAGGTAAGCCTGGGCAACATAGTGAGACCCTATTTCAAAAAAAGAGGCTGGGCACTGGTGGCTCATGCCTGTAATTCTAGCTACTCAGGAGGCAGCGATCAGGAGGATCTTGGTTCGAAGCCAGCCTGGGCAAATAGTTGACGAGACCCTATCTTGAAAAACCCTTCACAAAAAAAAGAAATTGGGCTGGTGGAGTGGCTCAAGGTGAAGGCCCTGAGTTCAAGCCCTAGTACTGAAAAAAAAAAAAAAGTGTGTGTGTGTGTGTGTGTGTGTGTGTGTGTATACACACATATTTACATAAATGTAAAAGCTGCTCTTAGCTCCAGGGCTGTTGGGGGTAAAAAAGTAGGTAGTTTACCAACCTCTGATGTAGAAACTTCCAGCCAACAAAAGCCTGGGAATGGGACCTGCCTTTTTAGGATTGCCATAACTAAGATTCAGCTCTAACCTGGGGTGAGGCATTTACTCAGGATTCCTTCCTTTTTCTTGGGAAATCTGAGTTAGGGTGAAGACAGACTTAGAGATTAAGTTTGGGAGAGCAGCCTCTTCTGTCTGGGATATAGGGTGGTATATATGGTGTGGTTGAATGATCTCTGCCTTTTTTCCCTTTTTACTTTCTTTCCCACAGCTGCTTAGGATCTTGGACCCAGGGTCCCTATGTTCTGGGCAAGTACTTGACACAGCCTAGGAATAAGGAATTGGTTCAGGGATTGGGTGGAGGCCAGAACTGACCCAAGTGAGGGGCATAGAGCAGCAGGGGTCTGGTTGGAGGGCAGTAAAGGAAGTGCATCTGGGTAATGAGAGGTGTACTCAGATGGAGATTTTGAATGCTATGCCCTGGGTGCTTTGTGGCAAGGTCCTGGTGCACTTGTTTCTGCATCTGATGCCATGTTTCTTAGTCTGGTTTTTATCAAATTGACTGACCCATCTTTCTATTTGGTACCTGCGTTCTTTTTTCCCCATCAAAGTACTCTAGGCCAAGCTTCCATCTCACTTCTTTCCCTTCCTAAATTCCCTCCATCCCTCACCTCTTATTGGTTGGAGATCTCAGAGCTCCCTCTATGTATGTGGCTCCGTAAGGGTCTCTCCCTATATGGCCTTGGCCTAGGAATTTTTTTCTAATCAGCTTCTCAGGGCTGGGAACTTCTACGATCTATACTTTTGTTCTCACCTATTTCTCCATTCATCTTCTAGTTAAAAATAATATTTGCCAGGCACCGGTGGCTCATGCCCGTAGTCCCAGCTTATTGGAAGGCTGAGATTGGGAGGACCAGTCCAGGAAAATAGTTCATGAGAACCCCATCTCTAAAATAACCAGAGAAAAATGGACTGGCAGCATAGCTCAAGCAGTAGAGCGCCTACTTTGCAAGCATGAAGCCCTGAGTTCAAACCCCAGTCCCACCTGAAAAAAAACCTAGGTGCTGGTGGCTCACACCTGTAATCCTTGCTACTTGAGAGGCAGAGATCAGGATTGCAGTTTGAACCCAGCCCAGGCAAATAGTTCATGAGACCCTTTTGAACCCAGCCCAGGCAAATAGTTCATGAGACCCTATCTCAAAAATACCCAACACAAAAAAGGACTGGTGGCGTGGCTCAAGTGTTAGAGCACCTGCCTAGCTAGTGTGAGTTCAAACCCAGTACCACCAAAAAAAAAAAAAAAAAATTGCTGGATTTAGGGATTTAGCTCACTGAGGCCCCAAATTCAAGCCTTAGCAACACACGTACATGCAAATACATAAATTCACTAAAATGTTTATACTAGATGCTAGGATCTTATCATCAGTTTTTGACTGGGCCCTGCTAAGATGGCTTGAGTAGTGGGGTTGGGGCAGGACAAAGGGTTTGGGGTTACTGAAGAGGCTTTTAGACACTACTCTCGAATCATCTTTCATCTTTTCACTCCCTCCACCCCCACTGCATGGATGGTTCTCATATATTCCTGCTTTCTTAACAATGACCCTTGGTGGGAGAAGTTTCTGACCCAGACCAACAGAACTGAAACCTCTGTTCCTCTCACCTGACAGGTAAAAGCAGCCATTAAATATGCCCTTAGTGTAGGCTATCGCCACATTGACTGTGCTACTGTCTACGGCAATGAGACTGAGATTGGAGAGGCCCTGAAGGAGAATGTGGGACCAGGCAAGGTAAGGAATGAGGATACTGAGAGAATAGGGTACAAGAGCTTAGAGGCTGGGCTGGGGCTTGGCTGAGGGTGTCTGGCATCAGCATCTTTCTGGCTCTTTTCCTAGAGGTGAGGGTGGGTAAAACTGGATGCCCAGGGCTCTTTTCTTTATGGACTCTGTTCCTTCCCCAGGCAGTGCCTCGAGAGGAGCTGTTTGTGACATCCAAGCTTTGGAACACCAAGCACCACCCTGAGGATGTGGAGGATGCCCTTCGGAAGACATTGGCTGACCTCCAGCTGGAGTATTTGGACCTATACCTGATTCACTGGCCTTATGCCTTTGAGTGAGCCTTGCCAGGGTCTTTATCTGGAAGTTGGGGGCTAGGTATAAAGTGTTAGTAATTTGTTATAAGTTATAGCAGCAGAGCAGGATGGGAAAACTCATCTGTGTGGCAAGCAGAGGAGCTTGACATGGGCTCCTAACCTTTTTTGCTATAGCAGGCAGGTGCTTAGCTATATAAAAAGAGAACACATAGTGTGTACATTAAGGTTAACCCAGTGGTCCCTCCTGCTCCATTATTCACTCAGGAAACCCGCAAAGCTAGGCCCTGAGGTTGTGGTCATGAGTAAACCTCCATAGAGGATATGAGAAGAGTCTTCCATCAGCACTGTGCCCTGTGCTAGAAGGGCAGAAAACTCCCTCAGGAGGAAGGAATTAAGGAAAACTTCTTAGAGAAGAGGAGATATAATCTGGGCTTAGGAAAAAGAGGAGGGGGAATGAGTATAACCCATAATACCTGGGTTATGATCTGCAAGGATGGAAAAGCGTGGCTGTTTCTTATTGTTGGCACTTTTCTCCCTCTGGTCTTGGGGTATAGGACATAGAATGACTGGATGGGCAGGCAGGACCAATACTTGACATTTGTGCCCACACTTGTGGGGCTGTGTCTCACTCAGGCGGGGAGACAATTTATTCCCCAAGAATGATGATGGGACTATCCGCTATGACTCCATCCACTATAAGGAGACCTGGAAGGCTTTGGAGGCACTGGTGGCAAAGGGGCTGGTGAGAGCACTGGGCCTATCCAACTTCAACAGTCGGCAGATCGATGATGTACTCAGTGTGGCCTCTGTGCGCCCAGCTGTCTTGCAGGTAAGTACTGCAAGCAGGTTGTTGGGTTGGAGGGGTTGTATGCACAGAGCATCAGTGATGAGTCTCCTTAGTGAAGATGGCTGGCAAGTTGTCAGAAGTGTTGATGCAGAAGTCCTGTACATAAAGATGAGCTCGATGTCCTGAGAGAATGAGATCACCAATAGAAAACAGTGAAAAAAGTGGGCTGAGGAGCCATGGGGATTCAGCAATGGAGGGCTGGTCCAGACATGCATGTCTAGGAGGGACCAGGCAAGCTGGGTGTGGCCACTCCATGATGATGGGTTGTTCCTTGGCTCAGGTGGAATGCCACCCATACTTGGCTCAGAGTGAACTCATTGCCCACTGTCAAGCACGTGGCCTGGAGGTAACTGCTTATAGCCCTTTGGGTTCCTCTGATCGTGCTTGGCGACATCCTGATGAGCCTGTCCTGCTTGAGGAACCAGTGGTCCTGGCACTGGCTGAAAAGTATGGCCGATCTCCAGCTCAGATCTTGCTCAGGTGCGGGACATTCTTGGGAATGGGAAACAGGGCTTTGGTGGCAGAGAGGGTCCCTGGTTGGGAGGCAAGGGTTGAAAGATTCTTTATCTGAGTACCTGGGTGAGGCTGAGAATCTTGGCATGTGATCTCTGGGCAGGCCACTCTGAGGCATGTTCACCATTCCAGTGGGGCTCAGGTGTTCCAGGAGTTTAGGGAAAGATACATGGAGGCCAAAATAATGTGTCTGAATACTGACTCTTTCTCATCTACCTTCATGCCCCACCTTAGGTGGCAGGTCCAGCGGAAAGTGATCTGCATCCCCAAAAGTGTCACTCCTTCTCGCATCCTTCAGAACATCCAGGTATTTGGTCATGGGTTCTATCTTCTTTAGCCCATTAAGATATGTTCTGGCCTCAGCCTCTAGAGAACCCCAGTTTCTACTCACCAGGCTGGCTTTTCTGTCCCCCAGGTGTTTGACTTCACCTTTATCCCAGAAGAGATGAAGCAGCTAGACGCCCTGAACAAAAACTGGAGATATATTGTGCCCATGATTACAGTAAGAATGTATCACTTCCCAGAGTTAAGGAAAAAGATTTGAGGTGGGGTAGCCAAGGTCTTGCCTCAGGCTTGATGGTTAGAAGAGGGACAGGATGTTATTAGTGGGATTGCTGTCCTGAATGAAATGGTCTCTTTTTCTTGAGGTCAGGGAATTAAGGCATATAGGTCTGTGAGTCCAAGTCCTGGTTCTTTAATTCTTCAATCCAGTAAAATTAACCCAGTGAAATGATATAAGAAGAGCTCATAAGAAGACTTTTTTTTTTTTTTTTTTTTTTTTTTTTTTTATGGTACTGGGGCTAGAATTCAGGGTCTACACCTTGAGCCACTCTACCATCCCTTTTTGTGTTAGGTATTTTCAAGATAGGGTCTTGCGAACTATTTGCCCAGGCTGGCTTTGAGCTGCAATCCTCCTGATATCTGCCTCCTGAGTAGATAGGATTACAGGCATGAGTTACTGGCACCCAGCTCAGATGACATTCTTGACCTTGATAGAGGGTTAGAGGGGATGGGGTGGTGTTAAAGTCTGCTGCACATATGGAAATAACTAGATCCTGGGCACATTATCCCAGTTGAGACTGCAAACTCTTAAGGGCAGAGTCAGCTATGTACAAAGCTATGAGTTTGCTGCTGGAATGCTGTTAATTTTGTGGCATTCTCTGAAACTGGAGTCTGTCCAGTGTCATCTGGCATAATGCTATAGCTAGGTATAGTGATTGTTCAAGAAAGTTTGGAGAAAATGCACTGGGTCTTTGGGATTTTAATTCCTTCTAATGGAGTCATCTATTTCTTTCCAGGTGGATGGGAATAGGGTCCCAAGAGATGCAGGACACCCTTTGTACCCCTTTAATGACCCATACTGAGACTACAGCTTCTTGAATTCTCTTCCAGCTCTCCACCTCCTAGAAAGAGGGAATCAATAAAAGCCATTGGAACATACATACTGTTTGCTTGAGTTACTTGTTTTTTTGGGTCCGGAATGGAAACCAAGAGAAGATAACCCTCATAGATGACAGGCCTAGGGCTGCTGGGCCTTTGAAGCTTTATCTTTCTTCCAGAGGGATCTGCAGGTAGCAGAATTCTGCTTTGTTTAGTGCCATCTAGTGGCATTTTGTAGCAGTGCATGCTTTCCTAAGATAGTTCTTACCAAGAATGTCAAAAATTTGTCACTTCAGGATTGTGATACTGGCACTGACTGTCTTATGGTTTCAAGGTAATGCTGGGTCTAAGGACCTCTCCACCCCTAGTCCTCATTAGTGCCTAGGTTTAGGTATATGAAGAACCCAAAAAATATATATTTGGAAGTTTGGGGGTCCTGGCTTGCAAAATCATTAAAAGGTGGACAAGGGCTTTTTTGCTCATGTACTAAAGTCAGTGTGCATAGAGGCTACCAGAAGGAGGCAGGATCAAGCTCAAAGCTTGTCCCTCCACACCCAGGGTCCTATCTCGAGTACTTTATAGTCCCATCAGAGGCCACCAATAAATAGATTTTAGGAAGGATTTTGGAAAATAACTAAACTGACTCTAAACTTCAGTCACACAAAACTGATTTTAGTTTCCCAGGTGAAACATTGCTCTTATTCTGACTATTTATTGGGTACTTGTGGATTAGGCACAATGCTAAACCCTGGGGATATAGCTATAACCAAGACATATTGTTCCCTATAGTCTACTTGCAGAGACAGACTTTAAGTAATTGCATAATTAGTTTAATTACAGTTTGAAGACGTGCAGGGTGAGAAGCCTACTTATTTATTCAGCTGAAATCTAAAGGTTGAATAGAAATTAATTAGTTAAAGGAGGTGAGAGTGGGAACAGAATTCCATGCAAATTGGACAGCTTAGGGAAAAGATTTGAAACTGGAAGGAGCTGTTGGAAAAACTAAAGATAGAAACTAAAAGTGAGTGGGGAGCTTGGAGACAGGGAGGCAGGAAATGCTGGAAGCCGGGTACCTCTAATCCTAGCTTCTCAGGAGGCAGAGATCATGAGAATTGTGGTTCAAAGCCAGCCCTGGGCAAAGAGTTTATGAGAACCTATCTCAAAAATACTTAGCACAAAATTAAAACCACACTAAGATTCCACCTCACCCCTGTTAGAATAGCCATCATTAGCAACACCACTAACAACAGGTGCTGGTGAGGATGTGGGAAAAGGAAACCTCTACACGTTGGTGGGAAATGTAAACTAGTACACCACTCTGGAAAAAAATTTGGAGGCTCTTAAAAAGCAACATTGATCTACCATATGATCCAGCAATACCACTTCTTGGGGATATACCCAAAAGAATGTGACACGGTACTCCAGAGGCACCTGCCACACCCATGTTTATTGCAGCACTATTACAATAGCCAAGTTATGGAAACAGCCAGATGCCCACCCACTGACGATGATTAAGAAAATGTGGTATTTATACACAATGGAATTTTATGCAACCATGAAGAAAAACTAAATGTTATCATTTGCAGGTAAATGGATGGAGTTGGAGAACATCATTCTGAGTGAGGCTAGCCTGGCTCAAAAGGCCAAAAATCATATGTTCTCCCTCATATTCAGACATTAGATGAAGGGCAAACACAACAAGGGAGTTGAACTTTGATCACATGATAAAGCGAGAGCACACAAGTGAGGATAGGTAAGACACCTAAAAACCTAGATAGCATTTGTTGCCCTCAACGCAGAGAAACTAAAGCAGATACTTTAAAGCAACTGAGGCCAACAGGAGAAGGGGACCAGGATCTAGAGAAAAGGTTAGTTCAAGAAGAATTAACTTAGAAGGTAACACATGCAAAGGAAATCAATGCGAGTCAACTCCCTGTATAGCTATCCTTATC